CTGTTATTGTAGGCGATCGTATGGTGAGCTTAATTTTGTTCACTGCAGTCTTGAAACGAACTTGCAGCTCATTCCTCATGTTTTTAACTATGTGCTTTGTTTTTATCTTCGGTGATCTTTCATCTTTCGAATACTGTTCTTATAATTGTGATTATATGTAAAGGTCAATTATGAGCGGAAAGTATATATTATAAGAAAGAAAAACACCTTTTATCTGAATAATCACAAAGGAAGTAATTTTATCAGATTTTTTGTTAATAAAAACGTTTAATTTAAGTACATGTTCGAAGTTACGATGGTGGTTGTATTAATGTGGACAAAAAATGCTGACGTACATATGTGTTTAGTGTTTATGTTTGGATTAGTGTGAATAAAAGATTAAAACTGTATCACGGGTTTACCCATAACAGTCAGTGACTCGAACACATGAAAATTGAAAATGTAACAACAATGCTATAGGCTTATAAAACTTTTAGCAGGGGAGGGCCCGGTACCCGGCTTAGGGCGTGACGTCTGTTTACATTATTTTTTTTAAACATTAACATAATTTCGTGTTTTGTATGTTAATTTGTACCTATAATAACTACAATTACAATTCTTTATGACTTCTATAAATATACAACGTCCGCTATGATTTCGAGCAGTAGGTAGGTACACATTAAAACAAGGGGAAAGGAATTGTTAGTAATAGGGTCTAATGAACCCATTGCTAGCAATACACTCTATCAGGTCGACCTCCACGTGGTTCCCCCTGGAAACTATCGTGAACAATTCTTGTTGAATTCGTCACAATGGGCTAACAGATCTGCTTCATCCTCATCTATCATCCTTCACTGGTGCCCCGCCGGTGTATACCGATGGCGCGTGCGGGGTTACCATTCCATTATCACCCATTAATACAAAAAAATGTACCCATTGTTATTTAGTATTAAAATCTCTGGTTTATGTTTACACATTTAATTGTATATGTAGGGATTTGTTTTTTTAAAGCATGTACGAGCTCTGGAACTGTTACCTATGTACCTAATAGCTTTTCATTTAGTTACCTCGGAGTTTCTGTAGTAATTGGCTGTTTGCTTAATATGGTACGTGGCCTTTTACCTATCATCGAACTGCTTATCACTAACAGGGAATTTATCCATCATCGTCATATCAGCCTTTTATTAATAATTGTCCACTATTGAAAATAAGTCTCTCCCTTAGAGGGCTTTGTCAGTAGTTGTCACGCTTGGCAGGTGAATTGGCTTGCCAAGCGTGGAGTCGAGTTGGTAAATAATTTAAATTTCTTTGTTAACCATTTACTTTAATAATTAAAGATTGTGTCCCATAAAATAAACTGTCTTCAATTGTGATAGAACCAATTGATCTATTAAACTGCTGCACTGATTTTGATAAAATTTCAATGAGATCAATCTGTATCTTTTCAGATCAAAAAAAACCAATTCGGTGTGACGATCACATCGATGATCACAAAAAGTGACGGAGTTATGAGGTAACAAACATACAAAAAGAAATAAATACGACCGAATTTAGAATATCTTTCTTTTTGAAGTCGGTTGAACATATAGTAGTCAGGTAATATATGGAAAAATTGTTGGATAATATAAAGTTTTCTAAATTGAAGCATTTAACAAAGACACTGGCAAGTAAGCGTAAGCAGAGGCCAAAACAGAGGGAAAAAAACGCACAAGATTTTGAATTAAACTGTATTAAATAACAAGAATATTAAAATATGATGATCACGTTTACAATATTCGAATTAAAATGTTACATTTCTTTGAAGAATACAACCGTACGTAAGATTGTGTCAATACAATGTTAATAAAGGTACATTTATATAAAAAAATTCTCTTACTGGTAAATAATTAAGTAGGTATATATTTTTAATGTTCATAATTAGTTATATATACCCCGTTTTAAGGGTAATATGTAAGTAAAAAGTACCCATGGTGATTTTCCATAGACTAGCGTGGGTTGATGCAGGCTCTTAATGTTTACATTTTTATTCAAACTGATTGGGAAAAAGAAATAAAATAACTCAATAGATTTATGTTAGCCACATTATATCCCTTTTAAGTTATTCAGTGGAAGAATTATTATTTGAAATAGAAGAAATCATCTATTAATTTAAATACCTACATAATATTTATGTAGATGTATCTCTCGCAGATGAGTGTCAACGGCAGTCGACGCCGCAATCTAATTACATTTAAATTAACAATTAAATCATTTGCTAACTGTTAAAAATAATGATATTGTGTAACACGATTTTTCTTAATCGCTAGATTGGTTACGTACATTTTATATGTCAATGTCAATGCATTATTTGCTAATAGTGATCAACCGGCAATAGATAAAATAAAAATTTATTATTTAACAAAAACACAAAGTTACAAAAAGATAGAATTAGCCAATTTATAATAACATTTTTAATTCTCTTTTTTTTAAACAAGTGCAACTTTTTAAACACTCTGCAGAGACAGCACCAATATTTACTATTGGTGTAGTCAATATATGTGAAAATAGAAGATTGACAGCAAATATGTAGCAATGTTTGTCTATCGCAAACTGTTTGCAAGATGAACCAGGAGCAGATTTATATGAACAAAAAATAATTCAGAGCTCCATATTGTAATTGTCATTGATAAACGCTCGTTTGGGAGTAGGCAATCTATTATACGGTTGTAACCTTCTGTACACCACAGTAAAATAACTGAAAAGAAATATTAGGGTCGATTCTGAGGCACAATTTTTCTAAATCTATCTCTATATAATATTTTAGTTTGTTAATTTCGCGAGATTACTATTTTAAGGACCATTATAAATTAAAATTACAATATTTTTGAGTTAAAATCTATTAGAGATTTAGTTCACATTGGTCCTTATTATAAAGATTTCGCTATATTATCAAATTGAAATTCTAATCGTAGAGATAGATTTAGAGAAATGGCGCTTCAGAATCGACCTCAATATATAATTAACTTAGATTATGATTATTAAATTAAAAATTAAAACATAGTACCCGTAAAAATAATTTATGAAAAAACATTTTTTGGTTTTAAGTAGAATAATATAGACAAACAACGATGTGTAAAACAATCGAACAATATACTAGTACCTATCTATGAGATTCCGTACTATACTAGTGTTTTTAAATTATTAATAATAATAAAAAAAAAATTGTAACTTAATTTGAAACTTATTATTCTAGTTAGAATATTATAATTATAGATGAACCTACTTATCTGCTTTGCTTCGCATGTTTTTTTTTTATAATAAAATATAGGCATGTTACTCGTTGTCAATGTAGCTTTCTACAGGTGAAAGAATTTTTAAAATTGGTTAAGTATTTTTGAGTTTATCCATTACAAAATCAATTTTTTTTCTTTTTAATAGTATAGACAACAGATATATGCGAGGATGCAGAACTGTAAGCGTTTGTACTTGGCCTTCTACATATTTGCTATTGCATATAGTCAAAAGCGTTGGTATTATATAGCAGTGTGAATTTCCAGTGATTAAAGAATGGGTAGAATGGGACTTATTGAGTAGGTATTAGAATTATCTCATTATTCAAACTTAAATACCCTTATGATCCTTTTCTAAATCAGTATAAATCTGTGCCTTTGTGCCTGTGGTCGTTTTTTAAATAAGTAGAAATCGGAAGTACATTAGTTTGATATAACTACATAATACAAATGTAGCTAAATAGTAAGATGGTTATATGAGTATTTAATTTCTATAATTCATTATTGTTATATTTCCAATGAGTTCCCATGCGTAGGCATTATCATTCTAGTGTATAAATAATAAAATTACGTCATCAATAATTATGATGACAATTGACTAGTAATTTATTGTGATTGTTTAAAAAGAAATTTGCATTATTTCCCTGTATACTCATATTGTATAAGTATGTACACACTGTGAAATTATTTATTAATAACTTTAACAATAAGCCGGCCTTTTGTAATTCATTAGTGAATTGTATATTTTTTTCTATTATTATTAAACTAGTGGAATAGAGTGAATAAATAAATAAACCTAGATTGTAAGTACATCAGGTGGTAAGATATTATACAACTTATTTTGGGCAATTAGTAATTAATATAAAATAGTATTACATTATTATAAGTACAAAATAAAATAAAAAAAAATATATGAGCTATGCCGCTATTTTACATTTATAAATTATAATTAAATGACTCAATAGTACGGAATCCCGGATCCATAATGTTTGCAAATATTACTTATCTATTACTTACTTATTAGTAAGGCACAATACAACTTAGGTATAGTTTGTTAAACACGTATTAGTGTACTACGATAGATTAAAATCAATACCTATACATTTATTTGATGATTACAGCTGACATGGTGGCATATAAAATACAGTTTTATTAGATTTATTATTTATACATAGAACATTTAAAACAAAAAAAAAAAGCAATTTTTGAATATTTATGAATTGAATTCAAATGATAAATACAAAAAAATTGTTACAATAATAATTTTTATAATTTCGTTTTATGTTTTACAAATAGTGCAAGCGATCGATATGTCATAATAAAGTGAATTGTGTTTAAAGTAAAATGTTATTAGACGAAAATAAGTGTGCCATGGCGGTGGATACTCTGTGGATTACGAAAGTTTTGCACAGTGAAAAAAAGTGTGTTTAGTGTAAAAAAAGAAGAAATAGGACAAAATACTTTTTTATTTTTAACAATATTATTGAAATATGTTTTTCATTATTTATTCATTCTTTAGCATTATTATTGAAATATGTTTTTCCTTGTCACAGCCTGGTCAACTTTGGGACATTATTTACTTCGATCCTTATGGTGACTTTTACCGAATAAAAAAATAAAAAATAATGACGTGGAGTAGAATAGATAACGTATATTATTTTAGAGAATATATTAATAATATTTTTATTAGTACATTACTGCAGCGGCCAGCAACTGAGGCATTGCCTAGTTGTGGCCAAGGCTTGTATAGTACTTTTCTCAAACAATGCGCGGAAATCAAAAACACAATTTTACTTTTTAAATTCAATGACGAATAACGAACAATAATAATTTTTCACGCGCCATAATGTTCCTTTGTTTTTTTTTTAATAAACAGCTTTCTATTTGCAAGCCAGTTCGAAATTTAAATAAAAACTTTTATTAGTTACCTCCTTGGTAGCCATGTTTCGAAGTAAAAGGTCATTCCATTTTTAAATTATAGGACAGATATGAGTTTACATAGTAATTTATCTAGCTGCAAAACACGACAGTTATGGATTTTCATACATTTGCCGGCCGCTGCCCGCATGTATCTGGCCGGTACGGCAATTTTGATTTATCTCGATTGAAGATTGTCAAAATAATGCACACATTTCCAAGCATGTTTGAGAAAATATTATTTTATTTATATTTTACTGTTATTGTTTAGTGTGTAACCACTTTGTGAGTGGGACAGTTATTTTACAGTAGGTATGTGAGTTTATTTTATTTCTTCGATGTTTCTACCGTGTTAAGTACACAACGGCCTAAGGTATCTATAACAAATATAGCACCATCTTAAAATACACATATAACAATTCTCATCTAACATAATTATTCGAGCGTATGACTTAGATACATTTTGATATAAATTCGGTCACGTTTAACACCTAATTAGCTACTGGCTAGACATGAACGCTCTTTAAATTCTATACCGTTATGTAACATTAAATGAACACATGAAATGAAATGTTAATTATTATACTGCAATATTGGAAAAATTAGAGTTAAAAAAAAAAGGAAGTTTTGTTTTATATTGCACAAAAACTTATCTGTAAAAACTGGCCAAGGGTTTGCAGAATACGCATTAATATTCTTATAGGGTTCCGTAGCAATTGTTTAAGATATAAAACTTAGTTCTTGCATTACTAAAAAAGAAAATATTTTACTATTGTAGTAACGAAATCTGATATATCTCGAAAATCGGGAATTTAGTATAATACTCTATTAACTGAATATTTGATGCATAATTTCACTGAAATGAAATTGTTTTTTAACCTTTAAGATCACTATTTTATATTACCTTTCTCCAAAATACAACGAATACCGAAAGTGAGCTGTAAAAGACGATTTTTGGCATATCTAGATTAATAAACAGTGATATAAACATTATAAAGATTCAGTATGTCATTGGCTACGGAACTCTAAAAATATACTGTCAGCAACTGATAATCTTCGTTGCACAGTGTTCGATTCTCGGTCGGTCCAAGTTAAGAAAAGAATTTTTCGAAAATGCTCGATCCTAGGTGTTCTAGTTTTAACGCCTTAGTTCGGTGTGGTTATGTGAAAAAAATAAATAAAAAAAAAAAAACTACAATCTAAATGCTAACATTATCGCTGATAGTGGATATAGGCACGTTGCCGCCTTTTTCTGACGAGGGGTGCAGCGGACATGGGGGCCGCTTCGTGCTCCGCTTCGTTCGAGAACTTTCCATTCTTCTCTGAGAGCTGACTCGACCTTGGTACTTCGTCAAGTCGCCGGCCGAGGCTGATTTATCGAACACTTTCCGGTTCTTGCTGGCCGACGGCTTAGGCCGAGGTCAGTCTATAACGTGTTTTATTTTAACGTAGAGCACGCAAGAGAAGAGGAATCCGAAGATCGGTATGACCGACATTCCGACGCCGACCGCCGCCAGAATTATTAGGTGGTCTCGAATGTGATTGGTAAACTGCCGTATGCAGCCCTGGAAGAAAGAATATATGTATTTTTAATTAAAAAGTTAGGTAGTAAATAAATAATAACTAGATTGACATTTAATCTCTATCAATCTTGTACTCGTATGTTTGCATATTTATATTTTTATGTATGTTTTTATGATATATATTTCTATATGTAAGTAGTATTTGTTTAATGTATACATGTAAATATATTTATGTGTCCATAATGTGCAGTAGTTCTCCATTGTATGTGTTGTATAATTTGTGAGTCAATATAATACGTCTGTAACTGTTTAACTACAATAATTTTTACTTTATTTCACAGTATAATTAAATTTCTGTTTTGCCAAAGGTTAACTGGGAGAGAATGCTATATAGCATTAAATCCGCCTTTTGTACCAAAAATTTTTTTGTTATATGGTCGATAAATAAACTGACATTGACCAATTGTATTCACAGAGTGAACTAAATGTATAAAGTATGTAAATCTAAGGAAGAAGTTAAAAGTCTAGAACCAAGTTATTTGTGTATGGAAAGTTACGATATTCTATTCTATGCTTAAAATAGAATCGGTTCTATATACACTAGAGTATGATATTATATAATAGTCGTTTGTATAGGCATTTATGTCTTTCTAGTATTTCTGCTGCTGAATCTTTTGCATGGCTACGTCAGTTTGAAGGGTGGGATATGGCAGTGAAATTACAAGATACAAAGTACACTTTAGTTTTCAAGAATAACAGCTTTTGAGAGGTACCATTACATGTCATTACAGTGTATTCTGTGAATATCTGCGGGTCTCACTTCCCATTAGAACTTCCCTTTAAGCAGCTGTAACAAGCTGTATAGAAAAGATATCGCTCTGTAAATATCGAAGGTAGTTTCGATGGCAATTTTATGTATGTTAGCGCTACTAACGTTGTGGTAGATGTTCGAGGGGTGATCCCTGACGCCGCAGCGGTTGGTGACAGTTTTGCAGCAGGAGTCCGGCACCAGCAGCCGCGGGTCGTGCTCGTGCCACGCGCTCCGCCTCCAGTCCTGATAACGAACAGCGCCGCAGCATTTGAACTGAAATATCAAATCTTGAGTCAATAAGGAATCCTTGCTAATATATTATTATATTATCCGATAGCTATACAACATCATAGATATAATGGTATTATAAATGTTATCGCTTTAAGCAGGACCTGTAATGACATGACTTTGTTAATAATGCAGATTCTCAGTCCCATTCCTAATAATACACCTTGTCAGGTCGATCTCCGGTTTTCCCAAGAGACTACAGCATGGGTTTCTTAAAAAGGGGAGTAAAGAGGTTTTGTCAGGGTTAGCAATGCGCACGTAATACTCCTGGTATTACAGACGTTCATAGGCTACAGAAATGACCATCAGGTATGCCGTATGCTTGTTTGCCCCCTAAGTGGCATAAAAAAATCTCCCCGTAGTCCCTCTTGGAAACCATCGTGCTGAACTCCAGATGTATTCATGACAATAGTCTAACTGACCTGCCTTTACATTTTCACCTATTTTTTTTATTATTTATCATCCATTAAAAAAAGCATTATATATGTATATTTTATACATGTAGAGTATTGATAAAAAAATTCAATATTGTATAGACAATGATTTTTGCTTACGTAGATGTAACAATGAACGTATCCACCATATCGCAAAATTTTTTTTTTATACCACTGAGGTGGCAAACAAGCATACGGCCCACCTGATGGTAAGTGGTTACCGTAGCCTATGAACATCTGCAATACCAGAGGTATTACGCGTGCATTGCCGACCCTAAAGAAACCTCTTTACCCCCCTTTTGAAGAACCCCATGCTGTAGTCTCTTGGGAAAACATCACGTTTAGCCATTTCTATTTTGACACAAACAGGTATACGAGTATACGGTGAAGTTCAAACGATTACATTAAAGAGTACATTTGTCTTATAACAAGGTCAAGGATGATTATCCGAGTATTATTAATATGAATACAATCGACGTATTAATTTATAGAAGTTGTTTATACAGATGTAGGTAAGTACTTATATCATCCAATGCGATGAGTCATTTGATGTACGTAGGTAGGTAGGTATATTTAATCTATACATAGAAATACTATGTATTTTAAAGAAATTTTCTAATTTCTATATGTAGAAATAAAGGCCTTTCGTCGTAATCGTCAATTTTATATTATTTAGGCGCATTTAGTAAATAATCTTTAGCATGGACTTTTTTATCCAAATAAGCCCTAGTCCACCTGACTTTCCTCTTTAATACCTACATATATATTCGTGAGTCTGGAGTTATAACTTATCGTAAATGTAGGATACTATAACCGATTGTAATGGAGTTTTAATAGCTTCATCACTGGCAATATATCTTATTATCAGAACAACCTCCACGTGGTTTCCTCTGAAAACTGTCATAGTTAATTTTTGAATTCATCACGATGGGCTAACTGACCTAGTTCCATCTTCACCTACCATCATTCACTGGTAGCCTGCCAACGTATATCGATAGCGGAGGCGGGGTTACTATTTTTCGTTTTCACCCAAAAAAAAGTTGGAATTAGTGGTGGCGATAGGGATTATTAGTAATAGTGTTAACACATGAAAACTTTTTGGTATTTATAATAATTTGAAATTAATTAAAATAATAAACTTATTCTTTTTCTAGCTGTCAACAAGTCTTTTATTTCATAAAATTTAAAATATTATAAATAAAAGCAAAATACAGCTAGAACACTAACAATGGAGTCTGCCTCATTGCTGGCAATATAACTTATCAGGTCGACTTCCATGCGGTCCTCTCTGGAAACCATTGTGATTAATAATCATTGAATCCGTCAAAATAGGCCAACTGACCACACTAGTCCCCGCCAGTGTATACCGATAGCCCAGGCGGGGTCACTAGTTTTATTTTCACCCATTAAAAAAAGTAAAGCAGTTATTGGCACTAGAGAAAGGCAATAGTAATGGTAAAATAATTCTAGTACGTTATAATTGTAATATAATAATTAATGTAGTGTTGACACTAAATATAATTCAATATTTGCATACCTATACAGGATGCTGCATGTTATGTACTTACTCGAATATGTAACATCTTACTTTACTGTCTAGCAAAAAAATAAACATGATTTGGTTGAATAGTAAATTATTCCGAACCTCCGTCTGCATGCGATCAACAGCATTAGATATGGTGGTGTCGAGCGCGTAGTTTGACAAGAACGTATTGTTGAGTTCCGCCCGCAACTCGTCTTCCACAGCGACCTCGTAGTAGTACGCCAGACCGCCCGCACCCGCCTCCAGTATGAACGTTATCAACAGGAAGTACGTGTACTGAAATAAAAAAAAATATATATACATATTTATTTATTTATTCATTAGTACATATATGTGTACATGGCGGACTTAATGCTAAAAGCATTCTCTCCCAGTCAACCATAGGGAAGTGTCAAAATACTCGAATGCGGTACTTAGTAATTATTGATATACGTACATACTAAAATTATATATATAAACGAATAAATATATATAAATATCAAATATACTTACACATATATAACATATACTATATTATACACGAAATTGAATATCTAAGGATGAAAGAAAAAAAACAATAACCTATCTATTATAGTGGTGTCGTCTGTATAATAGCAGTTAAACTCATTCCTTTGTTAAAATAATGTCCTATATAATAGGGAGGACCAACTTGACAAGATCCAAGATCTACTGTTTACTGACGAAACCCTGTGCGATCTACCAATTATATACTTCTTAAAATCTCAAATGAAACAGCATAGTTAAGTACACAATTATGTAGCATTTTGTAGTGTTTTTTTATTTTATTAAAAGGGAAAACATAAAACTGAAAATTATTCTTAGTAACTACTTATTTATATTAGTCTTATCTTCCGTTAAATTAGCAAAATATATTTTTTGCCTTGCTACGATTGACTGGACTAATAGTCACGATCGACCTGTTGGCCACACCTACTATATAGGCTTTTATTACACTTTATGTAGCGACACAATTTTTTTTGTATGGGTGATAATGGAATGGTAACCCCACCCGCGCCATCGGTATACACCGGCGGGGCACCAGTGAGAGATGATAGGTGAGGATGAAGCAGGTCAGTTAGCCCATCGTGACGAATTCAACAAGAATCGTTGACGATGGTTTTCAGGGGGAACCACGTGGAGGTCGACCTAACAGGGCATATTGCTAGCAATGGGGCTGTCATACTCCATTGCTAACAATCCCTTTCCCCCCCCCCCTTAGCAACACTATTAGTTAATATCTATTCTTGGGATTTGCTGTATTTCTTTATTTAGTTATTTATTTACTAGTACATCGATAGTGTCACCAATGGTTAGAATACAACACTAAATACGAACATGGTAAGACATATATGCACACCAGTTAAAGATGCACACAGCATTGGCTATATAATAATCATAATATGTGGGAATATATAATTTCTTAAATTATTTGTACTTGTTACAAAAACATTGCTAAGAAGAGAAAGAAGATATTTAGATTGCGTGACGGATTGATGAACAAACAATTGGTATAAGTAGGCAAATAATGCGTACATATTACGTATGTAAATTTTACTCGTGAAGATAAGCATTATCATTATTTAAATAAATTTGTTTATAAGACAATTTAATCTTTCTTTTTTTTTATTAATAAGAACCGCCAAGAAATTCGGCATATTCTCTTTTCAAACAGAAGAATGATATTTTACAAAGGAGTTTAGAATTATAAGGATGTAAGAACAGGTAAGAACCTACGTACGTCTGTAAAAATAAGTTTTTGTTCACAAGTGATTATGATTATATTTTAGGAAGATTATTTATCTAAGTATAAAAAATAAAGGTATAAGGCTCTTGTATATTAATACCGTAACGAAGTAAAAAATAAAGAAAAAATGTAATTGTAATAAAAAATATAATAATTTAAAAATCTTTAATAAACTAATAGGTATTTTGTTGTTAGATCCATTAAAGTCAGTTTCAACCTAGTCAACGTCAACCTAATTTGTATTTGACATTCTTCATATTTGTAGATAACAAATAAAACTTCAATGTCTATACTAATAATTATTATCACATCGATATTTAAAAGTTATAATGCAAGCAAAATTTATTAAACATCGGCCATTAATTCCGCACTATGTCAATTTAGATTACAAAACAAAAAGATAACACAGTTAAGGAAAAATAACATTGATGTTAAGCGATGACTCAACATCAATCTTATTACTGGTTGTCTATCTATAATATTAGGATTGTTTTGATGGGTGAAAATGATATGGTAACCCCACCTGCGCTAACGGGATACGCTGGCAGAGCACCAGTGAAGGGTGGTTGATGAGAATGAAAATAGGTCAGTTAGCCCATCATGATGAATTCATCAGGAATTAACCATGATAGTTTCCAGGGAGAACCGCGAGGAGGTCGACCTGGTTGGGTATATTGCTAGCAAGAGGATTCTCAGTCTCCATTACTAATAATCCCTTTCCCCCCTAATATTAGGATTAGAGACTATATTTTCAACTCAAATTTCCTATTCAAGTAACAACAAAAAAAAGAAGGAATTGATTTCTATTATTGTTTTTGGTTTACATCTGTATTTAGTCTATCAGGTCAGTCAGGCGACTCGGTATACAGTTCTGTATGATTTTTTTTATGCAGCTTAGAATGGCAAACAAGCTGACGGTCCACCTGATGGAAAGTGGTAGCCGTCGCCTATAGACATGAGCAGTATCATGGACATAACAGAGTATATTGTTTCTCCCATGATACCTTTCTATGCGTTGCCATTCCTGAGGACTCAGGTGTTATTCCTCTGTAGCCTGTAAATTCACTGCCAAATTTTCTTATACTATACTTGTAGTATTGTTTTGTTCCGTCAGTCCCCTCTTTCGACTTCCTAGAGTTGAGGAGTGATGACACAATTTATTACGACTTCGTCATTGTACTGATAAGGAAGGATTTCCACACACTGTTTTTGATGTTATCGTATTCACAACAATTTGGTACAAAAGTCGGGGAAGTGAACCACTAGGTAACAACGTTCGTGACTAAAACATAATTAGATAAAGTAGCTACATTTCTAAATCGTACGCACATATGGATCAGTGAGTCAGTATTATCGTCGAATATGCATCCAAAGGTTGCCTGGAAGAGATCGCTCTTAGCGATAAGATCGCCCATTATTTTCTCATTGTGCTTATTTCTTGTAATTATTTATATTTATAATAAGTTTACTACTGTAATCCTTTGGAGGAAACAATAAAGAGTATCTATCTATCTATGCATCTAATCAATTGCAATGGTAATTATGTACTTGACGAATGCGCTTATAACTTCTTAACAACGTTCGTGACTAAAACATAATTAGAAAAAGTATAAAGTAGCTACATTTTTAAATCGTACGCATATATCTATCAGTCAGTCAGTATTATCGTCGAATATGCACCTAATCAATTGCAACGGTAATTATGTACGTGACGAATGCGCTTATAAGTTCTTTTTTATGTATGTATGTCATTGGGTCATATCAATTGTTATTACTTTTATGGTCTTAAATATATTACCAGACGGAGACTTTGTACAAAAGTCGATTGCTTGGGTACCTCTGTCCCATTCGTGTTTCAACCGTGAAGCAGTTGTGTTTGCATGGCTGTGTTTCGGTTTGAAGGATGGGATATGGCGTGAATTTACTGGGTACAGAGGAATAACACCTGAGTCCTCAGGAATGGTAGCGCATGGGGGGTATCATGGGCGAAACAGTGTACTCTGTTATGTTCATGGTACTGCTCATGTCTATAGGCAACGGTTACCACTTTTCATCAGGTAGGTCGTCAGCTTGTTTGCCATTCTAAGTTGTACTGAACGAATTTATATGAAATTTAGTACACGAATATATTAAATCCTAACTTGCCATATAGGTTATTTTACATACTGATTCACACGGGGGATGCTGCTTAGCCGAAGTCACGAGTAAAGACTAGTTCATAAATTAGAATGTAACATTACATTGTATTAGATAAACAATTATTGTTCCAATCTATGACAACCGCCATAATGAAGCCAGTTCAACGACCAAAGTATTTGACACGAATAGTATACTTTTTTCCGCTTATCGCCCACGCCTAGCTCTATTCGACACAGTGCATGCTGATTATTTACAATATTGCATATATATTGTACTAGTCATCTGCCCCGGCTTTGCACGGATAGATAGAACTATTAAAAACAACAATAATCTATGTTACTCGAAGATAATATAATTTTCTATATATGAAAACATTTTTGAAATCTATTGAATAGTTTTTGAGTTTATCTATTAAAAACAAAAAAAAAAATCTCTTTAATATTAGCATAGATTGGTGGTCGTTTTGTTGGAGTCCCCTAGCTTTTGTCTGAGGGTAGCAATGCAATCTCTGTTACAAGAGTCACGAATTACTCTTCAAGAGTCCTGACTTGGGGAGAGGATTATTAGTAATGGGGACTAGCGACCCCAATGCTGACAATATACTTTGTCAGATCGATTTAATTTTTTATTAATTCCTGGTAAATTTGTTATCATGGTCCAACTACCACTACTTCATTCTCATCACCATATTTTATTGCTATCCCATTGGCGTTATCTTTACATTTTTGTCCGTTTAAAAAGAACTTATTCCATGCATAGCAACGCATGCAAATCTTAATTATAGTATAATTAGTAATAACTTTTCTACCTTAAGAAAATATTTTATACCGCTTGATCGAAATAACAGCCATAATACAGTGAACGCTCTATATAACTAAATCATTTGAACCATTTTCAATAAAAAAATTCTTATTGGGATAAGTTGATTATAGAGGGAAAAAGGAGTATAAAAATACTTACCGTCTGGAAAATATTTTTACTTATTTCTTTTACTAACTAAGCTGAGTAGAATAAATAAAATATAAAGAATGTTTCTTATAGAGAGGTTGTTTATATAGAGCGTTCATTGTATTACATTAATCTAGAAAAACCAGTGACAAATTACAAATGTTAGTTTAAATATAATAAAAAGTTGTTTAGATTAAGATCGAATTCAGAACTTCGATCACGCAAAGCATTGCCTACTATTGTATCACGGAGTTCGTCAAAGAATTGTGAATTATTAAATAACATGAAGTGTTAATCATCATCTAAGTATAGGAACACTATCAGCTATTTCTGCCAAATCTGATAATTATTGACAAAGTAGTGAATAATACATACGCAGAGTAAACTGGTTCTATTCTCAGTCTTCAGTCCACAGCAGCCTAGCCCACTCATGGGCACGCCGAGGGCGCCAGCGAACACGAGCATGTACGCGATAGCTGGATACGTTGGCGTTGGTAGCAACGCCACGAAACGATGTCTGGTCGCTACGGTCCATGCTCCCACTACTAACACGCCAATACCTGCAAACTGGACACAATAATTTCGGACTATTAATAGTTTGGACATACCACGTATAGTCCGTTTCTATAGAACTTAATAAAAATGTAAACAAATGCATAATTGGCACGACCAAAAAAATTTTATGGTGATGTCTAATTGTTCAATAAATTGATTTGTTAATTCAATTCTTCAATATTTTTATTAAGTTTTATTGACACACCTATATAAATATTTTTTTTTATCAAAAGGATTGCGCAATTAAGACAGTTTCTCTACGGACAAAATTACCATTTATGTTTGTGTAGTCTGTCCAGACTTTTAAGTCCGATGAGAGAAACTCCTCGGTGGACTTACAACTAACAAAATTAAGATCGAAAATACCTAAAATTGCACGTTATAACGCACTTCATATAAAATGTATAACACTTGTGTCGGCCAATAATAAAACGATAAACACGATCGCGGCTTAGTTTATAATATAAAAGAAAATTTTGTACGTGCGGATAAAATGTTTTTGGTATGCGCATATCTTTATGTTTACCTACGTAGATGATGGATAGTTTCAGGATACTAGGGTTGTTTTCATTACAATAATTATATGAAATAGAAATCTAATGCATAAGGTACTTACGCGAGTTCTAGGGGTCCTAATCTAAAAAATAAAACCTAACTAAAAGTAAACCACGGACTGTCCTCAACTACGCAAGCATTAAAACCTACTCAGAGTAGACTAGGGACTGTTAGTGGTATTCTGTTGTTCGTCAAAATAGATCTACGCAGATGTGGGACATTTTGAACATGGAGAATAGAATCTAATCACGAAACGTAAAGACATTTCGGCAATTGTATGTGATTTACTTTGATAGAGACAATTTTACGCTAATGATTATTATTAGTCGTCAACGCAGGACTTTAGAAATATGAGGAATTGCATCACATATCGCATACGAGGGATTAAAATGAATATCCTTTAAAGCATAACCGACGCGACAACGCACTAAAGTAATCAGAGGATTATGGTGTTCAAATAGATAGGCCCGAGACGACTTAGGAACAAAGTTTTTCCGCAGATAAAGTTCACCAACAATCAGGGTTCGCCGATATATATCAGAGAATATATATCATGATATTTATTACGATATATATCAATTGATTTTTATCTCGATAAATATCAGTTGATTTTTTTCCTATCTTCTGAACTAAAAATTTTATAGATTAATCTTTACCCTAGCAACACGTAACGAAAAACTACAAATCAGAATAATTTAAATTGTTTCCCAAAATGGCAACTTCATATAAATAATAATATTATTATAATAATAGGTACTTGTTTTTTTTAATTGTTCATTAAAAAATATTTCTCAAATAAACACTAAGTAATTATTTTGTTACTTGTTAAAAGCTTTTTTTTTAAATAATATTAATATTAGTAGTAATAGTTTGTACTTATTTTATTTTACAAATTTCTTTCACATTGTTAAGCGTATAATCCCCTTACAGAATGTAGTTCGCTTTTTTTTCTAAGCCGGGATATATATCTGATATATATAAAAAATCAGATTTTTTATATTTATTATAAAAATCGGATTTTTTCGAACTCTGCCAACAATAGATTGACTCAGATGCGGAAAATAATGCATAAACTTCCTGTATTGTGGCTGTATAATATTTATTTTCATAGCTATTAGATAAGTGTAGTCAACTCTGTAATTAGTTTTTATACGTCATTGGATGTGATTAAAAAAAGCCTATTAATATTACTGACACTTGTATAAATTATTTGTGCTATAATAATTTGCCTTAATTCTATTGCATCAATTGTTCACTGTTGTATATAGCCTCCCCCACAAGAGGGGGGGGGGGGGGGGGTTATTAGTTGCTACACTTGGCAGATTGGTTGGCAACCGCAGTTTGGCTTCTGGTGATATTTAAAGAGGGATGCTGCTGCCCATCCCTCGACCCTCCCTTAATCGCCTTTTACGACATCCACGAGAAAGGAAGGGATGGTCTATTCCATGCCGGAACTTAAGCGGCGATTAAATTAATGTATTTACAGAATATTATGGTTAATGAGAAAGAGTTGTATATCACGTCATGCTACAAATAATGGTTAAATTTATTTATTTATTAACCAAGTACCTAAAACAATATATTTTCTGACATTTATCTCTTTGTAGGGTCGAAATTAAAGTTTAAAAATGAGATAAAACGATATATAGTGACACTGTGTAATCAACCAATCACTATGAAATTTCGTATAGACGGACTATATGGGATGGAGAAGGATATAGGCTATTTTTTTGTCCTGGTCACGCGAACGAAGTCATGTGTGAAAGTTAGTAACATTACATATATGTAATGTAACTAACTTAGGCTTAGTCCATTTCGTAGCTTCATTGTTGACAATGTTACTGTAATTTTCAATAGTACTGTTTCTTTCACTTGTATTATGCATTTGTGTAAACTTAATTAATTATTATTTGTCTAACTTTCATACATGCTGTTATAGCGGTCTATTCGCCTTAAATAAATAATTGATATTTATGTTCCTGTTTTCCCCTAACTATATTTAGGTCAAAGAGCATAAAATCAATGTATTTTTAACTCGACAATTAATAATAAAATAGGGATAATTTTGTCATTGCATGATAAGTTTTTTATAATTACTTCGGCCATTTAACGTTTAATGCCGAATTAGAGGTTTACCCATGAATGCTATTATGTATCTACATAGATATATAAAATTAAATAATAATAGTGCAATAAATCATGAAAGTGCTTACCATAAATACGACGTTGAAAATATGTAGGACGCATTTCAAGAAATTCACACTGCAACAGTCGGCATCTCTCGATTTCCTCGGTTTCACTTTTTTCTTTTTGGCTAAAAGGGCACTACCATCCTTTTTCTTGTCTTCGGCCATTTTAGTAGACGCCCACGCAAGTAGGCCTGAGGTTTATTTCGGTTTCATCTCCGACTGCACATTTTGATGCCGAAATCCCTGTGAACAACATAAAAATTAGTGATGACCGTATTCTAGCTTTGAAGGGCTTGGTTTATTTTCAGCACAATATCTATGTACTTACAGTTATTATGTCACGCAAGATTTAAATTTGGCCTTGTTGGATGGATATTTTTATACTTATTGGTGCGTTTAAGCTGATTAAAAACACATAAACGAATTACATTATTTATTTATTTAGCTGGCCCTATAAAGTACCTTATAAAAATGGAATATAATACAATATTATATCTAAATTAAAGAACAAAATGTCAAAATAATTGATCCACAGTTAGTACAATTAGAATATTGTGTATATAGTAGATAAAAAATAAGTTTTTCTTTCATGAAGATTCCATGTATTTAACGCACAAAATATATACAGAATATTTTATTTACTAAAAGGTAATGTGTACCACAATTTGTTATTGTATAATATACATTCAGTCCTTAATTTCATCACAATCTGAATACATTTCATCTTACATTCATCAAATTATACTGAATGTCTTACTAATCCTTTGGATTTACATAATTCATAATCTACAATACAATTTTCTCAAGTAATTTAGACAAGTATACAAAAAATGACTTATTTCATTGTATAACGTTCATTATTTCAAGTCTTGATTTATGACAGTCTGCCTTATTCATCATACTGTTGTAGAGTTGATTCCAATTTTTCTACTATTTTTTTATAAAATGTAATCTGCTGCCTTAGGAATTTTTGCATAGTGGCCTTCAAGTCTGTTGTTCTTTCAGCTTTGAAGTGGTTGACTTCGGCAAGAAGTGCATAAGATATAACGTCAGTCCTTCTTAAAACTTCATTGAGTTGCGCTACCTCCATCTTGTGTTCAGCTGTCAATCGTTCACATTCTCGTTTCTTTTGGACGGCTCCCTTGTGGTTCGCCAGTACATCGGGAAAGGAGCCTACAATGCCCTTGTATAAATGAAATTTGTCACCCAAAGGTTCCCAGTCATACTTTGGTTGTTCATCATACATTCTTCCAATTTCTATGTAGGCACCTCCTGTCATTTTTATGGCAGATGTTAACTTTGAAGTAGAAACCACTGTCCCTTCGTCCAGGCTGAGAGCATTGCCTAAACTATACAGTGCCTCCCCTACTTTCTGACAATCCATCTTGTATGGTCCCTGGAATCTCTTGGTTTGTGTAATGCACATATTAACCACAGATTTAACAGAGGTGTCCATACTAGCTACAAATGTGTGACACTGTTCTGTGATGCCATCCACTTGTGTTTGTAATAAAGCTTTTTCAGGTACAACTAATGATATACAATAATTAAGACTCAGCAACGGGTCTCGTTCAGCCTGTCGTTTGCCTGCCTTCCATCTTTTTTCATCGGTACAAGTTAGAAAGTGTTGCCAAACCTCACATTTAGACAGTACTGGATGTCTACACATCCAGTCCACAAACTCTTGAAGTTGGACTCGTCTGCGTTCAATCAATTGCTCATCATATCGACCAGATATTTGTTTATCTGGTAGTGGTGGGATAGGAATGAGTGTAAACTTCTCTTGTAGCCTTTCATGTAGCCAATCAAAATGTTTGTATCTTCTAGATACTTGAATATTGTTAAATGAAGGTGTTAATTGGTATGCAATATAACTTTTAATACCTTTAAATTTAGATTCTTTTTTCGGTGAAGCTACAGTTACTGAGTATGGATGTGTTAAAGGTGACCATACATAACCTTCTTCATTTTGTACAATGTAAATTTTGTCATGATCTGGTACTTCTACATTTAATGTGCCAAGTAGGTAACTTTCACCTGTGACTTTAGAAGAGGGAGCAAATTTGTTTCTCCTAACTGTTCCAGCAGAAGACCCATAATTGGAAGATCCATCATCAAGATGATTTACATCATTTATAGGCATTCCTGGTAATGGCATTGGTTGATGCTGGTTGTGGTGTGATTTGTGTTGTGCAGGTCCAATTTCTGAGTATGTCTCATCATCCCAATCATCCTCCCATCCATCTTCCTGTGATGTAGTTCGGTGGTAATTGTTGTCGCCAGCACTGTATTGCTGGTCTCCCCAATCATCAGCTGCTTGGTCATACCTCGGAACAGCTGGTGCTGCATGTGTTGGAGCTGTACTAGTGTGCTCCAGCTCTTCAGGAGTGAGTTTTCTCACATAAGCAGCAGGGAATAGACCTGTCTCGCCTTTAGCATTCCTTCCCTCCCACCAACCTTCACCAATGTCAGTGTTAATTAATGTTAGTATTTCTCCAGATGCAATTGACATTTCAGTTGTACCAGGGTCCCCTGTGAAGTCATATAATGCTTGAACTTGGGCCGTCATCTTGACCCTGATACCTATAACAAATTAAAACATACATTAAATGACGCACACATACTCAGTATTGACTAATATACACAACTGCACACACATGCAAGTACATGACTATCTTATCTTTGTTATCAACAGATGTAGGGAATAAGTACAATGTGATATAATGTACAATATGTCTTATTATTAGAGCGTATTATTCAGGGCGTTGCTCAATATTTCGTCGCAAGGAGTTGACACATATTCCTAATAGCCCTCAATTAAGCACAACTGGTAATTGTCAAATATAGAGATACACTCATTGTTTAAGGCCTCTCTAAACATTTTGGAAAGTAAGTATTACTATTCTATAGCCTCACTATTGTCACAAAATACAATTACATGAAACAGTTATCTGCTGTTGAACTACTGTACAAACGGATTAGCATTTAATTTTGTATTTGTAATCGTAACTATAATTTATATTTTAACTAAAATTTATTTTATAAGACTATATTCATAAATTGCAAATTCTAAAAATACGATGGTATTAAGAAAAATATGACAAAAGTGGAAATAAAGTTGATGGTATTCGAAGCAATTTAATGACGTCAATTCAGTTTCTAAGTCTAACACTGTATATGAAAACAAGTTTTTAGGTCAAAACTGATAGTTAATATACATTAGGATACACGTGTAATAATGGATTTTGTTACTTACTTTTAATCACAACACAATAAAACAATTAATTTTCAAGGCGGATTCACTGATTGTACAGTCATCTGACTGACAGTTTCTTGAAAACTCGTTTTGTATCAGTCAGTTTTCACTTACGTAGCGAATACTAATCACTGATTGGCTAAAATAAGAAGATATTAAAAACAACCAATGTCTGACTTGTCATCAATATTCCTCTTCATTCTATATAACCTAATCGCAAGATGGCGCAATTTCTATCAGTTATATAGAATAACTGATAGAAATTGCGCCATCTTGCGACTAGGTGAGACAGATTCGGTATAATCTTCATGTTAAACAAGTAAAGATCAAATAAGCAGAAACCATATGCTAAGTTGTATCATTAGGTATCTAGATGTCGCTTTATTACACATCTTTCAAAAAATGCTTTAAATCTAAGCGATTTGAGTGAAACTAAAATAAGTTTAGAGGATTCAAAAATGAATAACACATATATAAAAAAATAAATAAAAAAAAATCCTTTTTGGTTTTTAAAACCTTAATAATTCATTTCTTAGGTGCTTTTTGAGGTGTATAAAAAAGGCAATTAATGGGCAGAGGCCAAATTTCTTTTTTATTTTTGAAATGATATTTCAGTTTGTATTATAGTATGAAATTTTGTTTTTCGTTATTATCTAAGGGTTGGATAAGTAATCAACGTGGACACTTTGAATGAAAAGAAGATATAAAAAATATTTGCACATTACTACAAGAAAATTTTTAACATAAAACCATATTAATATGTACTTATTTGATAGATAATAATGTAAACGTAAAATATCAAACGAGAAGTAATATTAATTATTCATCGACATAATTACTGAAGTAATAATAATTTATAATTTTATCAGGAGTGCATAAATATAGTAAGGTTATATTTATAAGTATAAGAATAAAGATTTATTATATATTCTTATGTTTATGATATATGTATGTCAAGCAAATATAATCGGCTCCCTAGACAAATGGCAAGTTAATCTCTACGTAGTCAAAGTACGTTTTCGCTCCACGGTGCATAGGAAAAATCAAGATGCCTGATATGATGCCTTCTTCGGTACATAAAGTAGCGAAAACAAGCTTACTACCTTACCTAATTAGGTATGGCAAGTTAGTTATAAGCATGTATAAATGACGAGGTAAACATCTACCTACTTACCTTTTTTTGCTGTACAATTTAAATATAAACAAAAATAAAAGCCATGCAAAGAAAATAAAGATGTCCTTCAATTTCCTTTTGTTATATGTGTGGACCAACTAAAATTTCAAGTCGATTATATTATGAGACGCTGTACTTAGCTTTAGTAATAGTTGAGATATACGGCGATTGGTGGACGGACGAATGGTCGGACAGATGGATAAAGTCGCACAATATTGGTTTCCTTTTATTCTATTTTAGCACGAACCCCAAGAAAAAGCAATTAAATGGATTACAAGAATGTTTTATGTATTGAGGCCTTTTATGTGCATTTTATTTAAATCCAAAAGTAGGTATAAGTAGATTTATACCACATTAAATATAGGTTTTATTTCATAGTCGAAAATATATCGACAATAACCTACTTATGATTAAATTACTTACCTATTTTATTAAGATATGTTTTTATTATAATCTAAGGTTTAGATATATTTTTTTAAATGATCTGCATAGCTTATTTATTCATTTACATGTTACCTATATATAAACACTTTTTCACAAACACATTACGAGCACGTATTTTTTAATATAAAGGTCAATTTACTGATAAATACCTACATACGTATATATGTACATTTATTAGATGGATATAAAGGCCGATCCCTAATTTATTTAAACTGTGGGTGAAACATTGGGTAAATCCTATTAAAGCTTCGTGACGCGACCGTCTCAACACTCAACTGTCAGATACCGACTATCCCAGTCCAAGGCTGCATCCTTAACAATATTTAATTTAATCATATTATTCACTGTATTTATCCTTAAGTTAATTATAACAATACTATAATTTGTTATTGCTTCGTGTATGTACGGTAAAGTAGGAATAGGTAGGTGTTATATTATATATAACGTCTTATTCTAAGAGTTTATTAGGGATTAAAATTAAGTATACTTTTTTAAATGAATGATAATGGAATGGTAGCCCAGGCTGCAATATCAATGTATGCTAGCGGGGCATCAGTGAGTGGGTTGCTGGCAAAGGGTCAATTAGACCCCATTAATCCAATAATCGTCAACTAACGATTCCCCTTCCCCACCAATCAATATAGTAAACTTTTAGGACAAAATCGTTATGTTCTAATCTAGGCCAGAACGAGTATCTAGCACGTAATAGGTCCCGGAGGGTGGGGGGGGGGGGGGGATTATTATGATCGACCTTCACGTAGTTTCTGGAAATAAGTGTGGTTTTGTAAATGGGTGAAAATACCGCGATGGTTTCCAGGAGAACCACATGGAGGTGAACCTGATAGGATAAATTGCTAGCAGGGGGTAGTAAGACCCCATTACTAACACTCCATTTCTCCCTAAACTGTTGTGGTTAGTGCCCGGTGAATTCATCATGATGAGCTCATTGACTTAATTTTTTTCTCACTTTAACTTAGATTAGCACACGGAGAAAGGGATTGTTAGTAATGGGACTAGAGGCTCCGTTGCTAACAAATTACCTTATCAGGTCGACTTCCACACTGTTCCCTCTGGAAACCACTTTGATTGTTTTTTTATGAATTCATCACTATGGGCCAACTGATATGCTTTCATCCTCACCTATCATGCCTCATTGGTGCTTCGCCAGTGTATACCGTTAGAGCAGGCGGGATTACTATTCCATTATCATCCATTAAAAAAAGCACACGGGTTATTATTTCATTTTTTTCTCATAAAATATTATATTTACCATGCTAGGTACTTTCAATACACTAAACCAATATACATAGTTAATATATTCATATATAAATCCGTGACCAAAGGCTTACGAGTATTAGTTGTTTAAACCAAAGGTCGTAATTTTCTTTGACCGCGACTTGTCCTAAGACAAAATCTTTTTCGATGTCACTATTGGCGGGGTCGGCTCAAAGAAGCTTTATGCGGATTGTTCTAGAAGACACCAAAGAGCGCTGTAAACATTAGCGTAAATTCAATTTGTGTCTATTGTGCAATAAATATTACTGAATGATTTGTTTATGGTGATTTGTTCAAGGATGCTAAATAATACGCACATAAATAATATTACTCAAGTATCTAATCAAGTTACGCTGAGCCATTATTGTTTTATCTATGGCTGAGTTTTAGCCGAGTCACACTGCAACAATAGCGAGATGACACCGCTTATACGAGCTTATACAAGCGTCATATAAGTCCATATTTTTATATTTTTCAACCTACTTTAAAAAAGGAGGTCCACAATTTGTTTTTTTTTTATGTTTGTTATACCTCATACTTCCGTTAGTTGTAAACCGATTTTGAATTATTTTTTTATTTAAAAGGATATTAATACAAATACAGATTGGTTCCACAAATTATTATCAAAATTCGTTTAGTAATTCAGTTTATAAGTAAAAAAGAAAAAAAACTGGTTCTGTGCAAATTTGAAATTGGTTTCTTTTGCAGAATAAAATCTTAGTTATTTACATACCTAGGCATATTAAAAAAAAGTATGCTCAGGACTATAATCTCTAATGGAGTAATTAACATCAATAGAGAGAGAGAGAGAGAGAAGAGTTAGAGCATTGGGCTAATCTTGTTCTTATGGCCATATTTTAATGAGCGTATTAGGATCCAGCGTGGCAAAAGGTGAGCGTACCCAATTTCTACGTTATATAATTTTTTTTTTAGTTATTGTTTAAGTAAGATTTTTTTCTCAATATTTAAAAAAAAATGTACTTAAATAACCGGAGTCAATAATAACAATAATTTATTTACTCGAACTGTAGTAACTTCATTATGTATCTAATAAATGCTCTATTTAGCTATCATTTAGAAACAGTTAAAACGTTTTCGAAGATAATAATGAACATATGTTGAAATAGTTATCTGATGCAATTTAACAAAATGGAATTCTGCAATGATCAAACAATTTGTTTCATTAATTATATTTTTTAATTCACTTTAATTTAATTACACACATTGAAATTTATTTACTGGTCTTAACGCAATGTTTTTGCAGGTAAATAATACCTATATAATTTATTTATAATATAAATCCGAAAACAAATTTAAATAGACGTAGAATATAATTACCATGTTAGGCCGCAAACAAGTAGCAAATTTCTATTAATTCGAACTAATTCTATTAACAGTTTAGTAGGGATTCTTTTTGATGTATAGTGGTTAGATCTGGTTTTGTTGAAATTACTTTGTGTATATTAAAGTAAAACAAGTACCTACTCAGGTATTGAATTCCAAATTTTAAATGCTACTTTTATAAGGCCTTGACTCAGTCAGAGTAGCTAATATTCATTTGTCACATTATATTCACCGAGTCGAGAGCAATTAATGTCAAGAGCGTCCTATTTTCTGTGAAAACCTTAAATACAAAGTCAATTAAACTAATTAATGTTTCTGCACCAAAAGGGCCAGATTTCTGTTACCGATTGCTATGAAACCACAGGTAAGTACTCGTATCTAATTGAGTCGAGTGGCTTTATCATTTATATTATTGAAACTAGGTTTTTTATTCTCATATAAAATTGATTCTTAATTTCTTATTAAATTGACATACTTTATCAATTTAAAAATGTATTAATTTAATCCAATTCAATTCAATATAGCACTTAAGTTTTAAACCGAGTTAAAAAAATAAGGAAGTTCTCAATTCGGTTGTATTTTGTCATGTTATCTCATAATTTCATAATTTATAAAAAAGATTTGGAAATTTTATTTTTAATCTGAAAGAATAAGGACTTTCAGATTGGTCCTATAAAAAAATTATCAAAACTAATTTAGTAATATAAATTAAATTAGTAAGTATTATTATACTGAAGTAGTTTTTTGTTGTAAAACACAATCTTAAATATATTATATTTAGTAGACATTATTGTATGTCATGTTATTGTTCAAACTTGATATGATCTTTATAGACAAACTAGATACAATTACGTCAGTTATTTATGAGTAAAGAAAGGGGAATAAGTAGAGGAATATATTTCAAGTGAACCTCTTATATTATTAGTACCTCAATATTAACTTTTACCATAAGATAATATAGAGACTAATTGAAAGAAGATGCATAAGTATTGGAAGTAGGTACAATAAGTAAAACTTAGATTACATTTAGACGGAGGGAATATTTGGCTCTTCGACTATAAATATTAAGTTGGTCAAGAGTCTAATTTAGGCGCCACTTATTTTATAAAGGAAACTAATTAAAGTTGAGCCTTTGTGTGAATTTCAAATGGGCACAGGAGGTTTTCTGTTAACCGCCTGTAAATCTTCGCGGAGGAATTTTATTTCGATGCCGGCTCTCTCAAGACACTTCAAATGAAATCTTTACCACATCTTCCCTCAAGTTTTCCTGCACTTTGCTGTTTTAGTCGCTTTCACATTTCGTTCTTTACGGCCGCTGAACACTGTAGATTAAAAGTTTGTCGTTGGAAACAAGAGCAAATGTTTATTTAGGTCTTTGTGAGAATTTGATCGTTGTGACTTATTACCTACCTAATTTAACTTTATTATTAATTTAATTACTGCTTCTATTAATTATTTTTTTGTAGGTAACTAATAACACAATTTGCAGTTCAATATTTTTATTACCATCATCATTTACCATTGATTACATAACGTTGGGTTAATTGAAAGATTTTTTGGAGATAAGTTTACTGTTGTTCAGATTGTCTCTAATTGTACCTAATTAATAATTATTAAGGCATTTTGGAGCGCAATAAATAAATTATACACACAAATACTTATGTTTATCATCATCATCATCATATCAGGCGTTAACTGTTGACTATTGTACGTAGGCCTCCCCTTTGGGGGGAAATTTGAAGTAGTTGCTACGCCAGGCAAGCAGGTTGGCAAACACAGTTAGGCTTTGGTGATGTTTTAGGAACGCTACTGCCTCTCTCTCGACCATTAAATTCCTTTAGTCGCCTCATACGACATCTATAGGAAAAGATAGGGTAGTCTATTCTCTGCCGGGACCATGTGGCAAAAACAGTAAGAGTGATTCTTTGTTACATACTATTTTTTAGTACAATTCTTTCTCGTGGCAAGAAGCGTTTCTATTAGAGGCGTAGAAATCAAATCGTAGACACCTGATCTAAATCGTGTATAGTCTAGGGTAGCAATATTATTGTAATAAAGATAGAAAATATTGGCTTGAATGTGAGATTAGATACGACATGTCGCGGCGAGCAGCTGCCGACGACAATACTAGATTGCATCTCTTGTAAGATGAGATTTAGTGCTACAAGCTCCAGTTTCCTCTAGTTGGCTAGCACTATGCACTTAATAATTAAAAATCCAGTGCCTAAAATAAAATTGTCTATTTAATAAAGTAGATTATTCATTGTTTAATATATTTTTAATAATACCTTTAGATGGTTAGGTTAGACCTTATTTTGTGTTTTTTGTTTTATTTTAGAACCCATAGAGGGTTTTTAAGAACAGCTTGTTAGGTTGTATTTTTTATTTAGAATACAATTAAATGAAAAAAGTACGAGAGTGAATTTATTTGTTTGTTACCTGTATGGTTTGGTATCTGAACGGTCCAATCGATTGTCATGAACTTTGGTGCGACACATCGTGTTTGAAGTGAGATAATATCCCGGTTAAGCACTATAACCCACTCATACATATAGTCTTTATAATGCCATTTTTTAATGGATGACAATGGAATAGTAACTCCGCCTGCGCTATCGGTAAACGCTAAAGGGACGCCAGTGAAGGGATGATAGATGAAAATTAAAAAGAAGGTCAGTTCGCCCATCGTGATGAATGCACCTGGAATTCAATACGATGGTTTCCAAGAGGAATACGAGGAGGTCGACCTGAAACATTGCTAGTAATGGAATTAACGACTCGAATTACTAACAAACCTTACCCCCCAACATGCCTTTAGGAAAAACTCATGTTTAATATGGATAGATCACATCGATAAATAGCTTCTAAAATATATGTATCTATAATATCGTAATAATGAGCGCTTACAACTAAACTAGCAAAAGAATTGAAATAGAAATGGAATAGAATATAGAACATAAAATATGAATTTAGTAAACTTAATTAGGTAATTATTTTGTTATTTTTTACGACTAAACTAAACTATACTAAGGTTTATAGTCTTAAAGAAACGAAAAAAAATGATTTGTCAGTACAAATAGCATTTTCAGAATGGCAAACAAGCTGACGGCCCACTTGATGGAAAGTGGTAACCGTCACCTATAGACATGAGCAGTACCATTGACATAACAGAGTATACTGTTTCGTCCATGATACCCCCTATGCGTTGCCATTCCTGAGGACTGAGGTGTTATTACTCTGTACCCAGTAAATTCACGCCATATGCCAACCTTCAAACCGAAACACAGCCATGCAAACACAACTGCTTCACGGTTAAAACACGAATGGGACAGAGGTACCCAAGCAATCGACTTTTGTACAAAGTCTCCCTCTGGTAAATGTATTACTGAAAAGTGATAAACTTTTCATATTATTGTTATCATTACAACAATAACATAGCGTTTAGTATAATTTTTGTTTACTAGTAAAACTGTGATTATATAGAAAATTTGTGCATAATCATAATGAAATGATGAAGCGGCAAAAATATCCGATTTTAGAATCAATTTATTTCCCGGAAGAGTCAAAGTTGATTAAATTGTCAGCAATTTTTTTCCGTTTTAGCCTAATGGTAAATTGGGCTCCCGACAATTTATTTCTTCAGAATGGAAGCCAAGATTTTCGGAAATGGTTTTGAGGGTTGATTTATTCAAATAGATTCTTGTTGGTTATCGATATGTTGTGGAGTTTTCTTTGTGAGTGGGTGCGATAGAAAGGGCAGTAATCAAGAAAGTTTACGAAGTCAAAGTAAAGTTGGTAGAATGGTGGTGGTTATAGAATGATTTTAAAATGCACACCAAATTTGTGGGTTTATATATATATGTAAGTATGTACATTAAAATGTATTTATATATTGGTTTGATCAATGGTTATGAAATTTGGTTGGTTTTTATGGTCCAGGTCTTCCTTTTCCAATGCGTCTCTCCTTATTCTTATGGTGTTGCAACACATTAACTTTTATACTGCTTAATCGAAAGAAAATATTGTGTATATATATTGTACTGAAGTTTAATGACAATTGATACAAAAATTATTTATAGACGTTCCATAAAGAAATAAACAACACCAATGGATATTATACTAGATTAGTTGTATCCCGCAGATTCGCCGGAATGAATTAGGATACAAAATATTACGGTTTATTTATGTACAATGTTCAATGAATAACAAATATCTAAACTTGCAAATGTTGTTTACAAATATGAAAACAGAGAATATAAGCTATGGATTATCCTTCGTCCAATATACATACACACACACATACACACATATATATATATATATATATATATATATATATATATATATATATATATATATATATATATATATATATATATATATGTAATATATATATAGGATGATAATGAAACTGGCAAATGAATGTCAAACAAGATATTACACTGTCTAGAAATATGAAATATTGCACAGATGCTCCTTATACATATACCGTAAGTGAGCACTAAGAAAGGGTTTTTTGGAAATTCCCAAGGGACAGCAGATAACGGGTTCACGTCGGGAAAACTGTGAAAAGCAGCAACCTGATACAAAATAGCGAATGTAGTATTTTAAAAGTGTGAAAGAATTGTTTAATACTCGTATTATTAATTTACTTGTATAAACTAATTGAAGTTCCATCGAAAAGAGAATTACTTACATAACTATGTTTTCCTGATAAAGCAATAAATTAAATAAAAAAATGTATATTTAAATAGAATAATAAAAAAAATAATTCTATACATATTGTATTATATTATATTATTGTATTTATAAATTATTAGCTTTTACCTGAGACATTGTCCACGTGACTGGAATATGTTTGCTGACCAGGATAATAAAGTACTCTATGTCCTTGCCTTATAGTTCTATAATTTCATAGTGGTATTACCTTTGCATTGGCAAAGCCTTTAAGTCGCTTACAAACAAACGAACTCACTTACATATTTATAAGTAAGGATTTTTTATTATTGTAGAATTATACATCATGTATTTACATACATGATGTATAAATATCTTACGTACCTACTTTTTTGATCTTCACGTCTACGGTTGATTGGTAGATAATGCCGTATGGTGTTACATCCGCCTTTTATACTGTCTAGGTGTAAAAGTCCTATTTAATTAAATAAATTATAGACAAGGCATAAGACAATACTATAGAATTAACGAAAGTCGCCATAGATTTATCTGATGTAGGATTTAAGAGCGAACGAGATGTGTCAGCATTAATTTCCATTTTGTTTTTGACAGCTCGAGTTAGAATGCTAATCTGGTGGGTTTATGAATTATTCACTAACGGGCCCGTTTCCCCAATTCACTTATGAAGGGTTGTTTGAAAAAGGGACCGCTCAATTCATGACAAGCGATTAAAATTCTTTATTCGTTTTGTACACTTTGTTCTAATTACCTTACTAACAATGCTACTATAATTTTATTTGACTTTCGTTATCTTACATAGATGGAGTTTTAATATAATTAATAGTAGAGATGCGATTAGGTAATATAAAAATAATGTACATAAGGAGGTATGCTTTCTTATTACTGTGTAGCGGGGTTTGAGTTATTAAGGTAAATATTTTTTAGCAATAACAATTATAAATTAAATATTAATAAACACATTGAGATTTCAAATAAAAATTATAAAATGGTCTGTAAATTAATAGGAGATAATTGTTTGTTTTTTTTTTTCACAAAATAAACCGACTTCCATCTTGATAATAAATTGTATTTTTTTTACAACACAGGGGGCAAACGAGCATGCGGCTCATCTGATGGTAAGTGACTACCACCGCCCATGATCACCCACAACACCAGCGGCATTGCAGGTGTGTAGGTATCTGACTATAATGAACTCTTTAGATTAAAAAATCAACTTAATTGCTTAAATAAAAGTTTTTTTCAATAATATAGGCTGTCAATCCAATGATTGGCAGCCAATAAAAAAAGCTATAATCGAAAACATACTTTTTAAAATCTGTTGAAAAAAATTTGATATATGTACTTACTAATATCATTACGTATAAATATGTACTCGTATTTTTTTAAATAATAATATAGCTAACTAAAATATACTGTCTAAAACAGGTGTGGGAAGCGTAAATTTATAGAACCCGGTGCCGTAAGAGGGCGAATTCTAATTTTCTTTGTAATATCGTTCCTCTAGTTCTATATTATTATTTTATCATTTCAAATAACTCCGATTCATTAGATGTTTTCATTCGGAAAATGAGAAAAAAAGTTAATACCTAATGGAGGAAAATTTCGTGTAAAATTTGCCCGGGGCAATTTACAGTTCTTTGTTTAGACAAAAAGTTTCCGTTCTTTTCAATCTTGAGTGATTCCACTGTGGAATATTTTACAAGCCTTTTCCTTTTCAATAAAATATTTTTACTTGTAGGTACTGTATTCTTAAAAGAACGTGTTGACGAGATCAAATTTAGTAATATTTTGTTTAAAAAAATCAAGTCAAAACATATATCAGTTTTAAAGCTGGACCTACAGACATACAAATGTTAAAATTGCATCCAATCCTGATGCCGGAACAAATATATAGACAGACAGGTAGAAATTCTAAAAAATATTATTTTGGTCTTATAAAGCCATATTAATTTTTCTTACATATCTTAAATATACAGACATCGTGTAATTACAATTTTATTATATTAGTAAGAGCAAGGCAAGATTAGGTATTACATAACTTTCCACTTAAATTCAGTACCATATATCTTATTTAGGTTAAGGTAGATACACATTACTTTGTAAGAATTTATACGGGTCTCATGTAATTTTGGATGGTGTATATTTGCTTGTTATTTGATTGTTAATTGATCACTTAGTTCATCTCTTTAGCTTATTTAAATCAGTCGTTAAAAATCTAATATGTTTCGCCGCGTATATTTCAACTGTATTGCAAATTATTCATAAGTCTAATAATTATAATCTTAATTACCAATCCGTTTCATTTTACAGACGAAAGATGTTAAAGCAATACCAACGTTAGTATATTTTCGCTCGAAATAACTTATCTCGTCTCAAAAACCGAAGCAGCTCCTTAACAAAGTTACAGTCTGGTTTCACTTGTATCGAAAAGTGTTGCGAGGGCGGCTAGAAGTTGGTCGAGACGTAACATTTGGTACGAAGTGCACTTTAAAGTTGGCTACGAGCCGCAGAGAACGCAACGGGGTCGTCTAAAGTCCAATAAAGGGACAAGTACTATCAAAACTTCGCTACCATTAGAGTCGGCTATCAATAGAAACAAAAGCTTTGTCTTACTCAATGTCAAACAAACATTCGTCGACGCCTCTACAGAGATACTAGTCTTTACTAGGTATCATTCGCGCGAGGAGATTGATTACTTTTTAGCCCGGTCAATAAATAAATCCTTTATTGTGTGACTGAAATAAAAAGTAGCCTAGTAGTTTACATATATTTATTTAAAAAATCCATTAACCAATAAAATGTGGTACAAAAGGTGAAATTAATGATACAGGTATTCTTTACCAGTCAACTTTATATAGTCTTTTCCATTTAAAATAATTCGTGTTAGCCATGTGTTGCTGATCTGTTAAGTCAGTAAAGCGCCAAGAGTTAATAAACAAATAATATTACCTTCACGTTTATAATATTAGTAAGAATTCTTATGGTAATACGATTTGTTCGATCTGTTATTGTAATTTTAAAATTTAGGTAGGTATTTCATTGAAACCTATTATGTTAGGTCTCTTTATTTAGTGATTCTATTATAAAACCTCTGTTTGTTCTTTTATCATGAAAAAGAAAAATTGAAAGGATTTAAAGAAAATTTGACACGCAGAGGTCCCTTTTAAAGCCAGGGTATTATCAATAGAAAATTTACCGCTATATGTCTGGTTTAATTTGTTTGTTAATGGTGTTTACTATCACCAAAGAGTAGTGCAGAGTATCGAAAACAAAAACTCTACAAGTTATACTATATATATAGTGACTACAAGTTATAATCCTATGGGTATAATTTGTATTAAATTTAAAAAGCTATAAGTGGGTGGGAAATAGAAATTTTGAGCTTTCTCCCGCCCACTATGAATTTAAAATTTAATAAGAATGAAATGCCCATAGAGAGCACAGACAACTTATTTTTATTTTTGCGAAGCAAAAAATCTATGTCTAGGTCGTCTTTTAGGGTAAGAGTTATATTCTGGTAATATTTAGATAGGTATTTATGCATTTATAAGAATAAAAAATATGCTCATGACTATAATCTGTAATAGGGTAGTTAAAGGCATTTGACCACTGTCATTGTAATGAACGTAATACTCAACATATCTACGTTTCGTCGAGAAAGTATATTAGAAGTTATAATATAAGGTTATGATAGAGGGCAGGACTATCGTTTTCTTTAAAATTATTTCGTTTGTTATCGATATTCACCATCATCATATATTTTCTTCTACAAATCAATGGGTATAATACACAATAAGCAAAACACGTTCGGATTATGTTAAAATATACTTGTATCTACTAAAACATTCAGAAGGCATCTAGATTTCTATATATAGGTTAGGAACCTAATATCACGTAGTAGACGTAGAAGGACGCCTCTAAGGAAATATATTCGACAAACATCACACGCTGGAGTATGTGACTCCACAAAACGAAATTGTCGTGCTGAACGCATTAAATTTTTACGAATTGCATAAGATTTGCTAAACAATATTTTAAAAACTTTTCCAATTTGAGGAGTGTTAATGCAGTCTTCTGTACGTAAGATTTACTTTCAACTAATTCCATAAACGAAGGATTCTTCATTTGATTGTATTTTTATAAGTACGTTACATGATACCCTTGTCAATTATGCACCGATTTAAATGACTATTTCCACTATCGTCAGGATTTATTTCCCTGTTGGACCCATACTAATTTGATTACGATTCATGAGCTACAATAGTAGCTTACACTATAGACTACATAATGCTATATTAATACTGACATTAGGCAAACCATATGCTTGATAGCCAGGCTTTTTTGCAATATAAAAATGGCAGTAAGAGACCTTGTTGGTCCATCGTGATCAATTAACTTAGCAATAATGAATAAACCTGTTTAGGTAGGACAAAATATTTTTTCGGTACCAATAAATATGAGTTTGCGCAGTATATATTTTCTTACTTTACCTTAATGGGAAAGCCGAACCTAAACGCCTATTACTGTAAACTGTTTGTGTGAGTAGGTAATTAAAACCTACCCATGAATTTTCATTAGATGTAATGACGGGAAGTTTTGAAGTGGTTAAAAGCTTTAACCTCACGGCGACATACGCAAATGGATCTCGACTGTACTTGTGAGGCGCAATTATTTGCAACTTTAGAAGTCTCATTACAGTCAAAGTGGACACTGTAGGCACATTAGAAGGCGTCTGTCAAGTACTAATATTCGCAATTACTACTATTTAAGCCTTATAGGCATTTTCTTCTATATTTTCAACCTAAATTAACTTTTATACTTAACCAGCTGTTTCTCAGGGCGTCTGTCTCGTAGAAATTTTAGAAATCTTATCATGGAAAATACTAAGATATTGATTGCAAAATTTTATTCTAAACCCCATATTAATAAGTTTTTCTTTTATATTACAATGTAATTTAAACCCGTGACTGTAAATCGCGACTTAAAAGCAAAAAGTAACCGAGACAAAATTAGTTTTTAACCCGTAACCGAGTACAAAAGGGCGAAAGGATTAACGTGATGTAAAAACCAGATACGAGTCCATTGTAACTGTGGACTTGATTCCACTTAATCCGTTGAAGTAAATTGAGTTGGCGCGGGACATCAAATTGTTGAACTTTTGACTCCCCCAACCTGGTTATGTTGAATTAATTGAAATTTATGGGATATCTATATTAGGGGTTTTTGTTATAAAAGTACGTATAACGTTTTCATTGATTATCAAACACAGTATATATAAAAAATATATAAATTTGTCGATTTTTATTCCATCTTTTGCAATACCTAAAATTGTAACTTGTGGACAACAACAACTTCATACAACATTCTGTTTCATTTATTAGGTATTTAGTGACTCATTCTCCACGAGAACAAACTTAATATTTATAATTGAATTATACTTGGAATACGGCTATATGCTTGGCTCATCAGCTAATACAATATTTTAATAATTTTATAGAATTGAATGAAAACGACAGTAAAATAAAAAAAAAATACAGCGGACAAACTTTATTTCTTTTTTTTTGTAAATAAATAAATAAAAATACTTTTTTAAACTCTCATTTATCTTGACGAATAAAATATATTTCTAAGTGTACTGTTAACACGTAATTTTTTTTGGAATGGCAAAAGACTAATGATGTGTCTGACGGAAAGTGAATTCTTCTAATACGTTATTTCGGTAGTAACTTGATTAGTCACTACTTTAGACGACGAAAAGTTTCTAGATCTAGAATCTATACTTAGACGACTAATTTTTATTGTTTCACGAATCTTACGAGGAATTTATAGCTTCTTTCTTATTAAGACTTCTTCTCGATAAGCTGGACCGTCTCCTCAACCAAGCCATACGCTTTATCTTCAACCTCCGTAAATTCGATCACGTTTCTTTATATCGGTCTCAGCTCAAGTGGCTTTCCATTCGTCAACGCAGAAACGTTAGAACTCTTTGTACCCTCTACACTCTTCTTCGAAACCCCCAGTCTCCTAACTACTTAAGGAGTAAATTCCATTATCTTTTTGAAACTCACGAACGTAACCTTCGTTCCAATAATACTCTCCAATTATCTTTCCCCTCTCACCGTACTGGTTACGCTTCAAACTCTTTTTTCCTACATTCTTCACGACTCTGGAACGCGCTTCCTGATGCCATTAAGAGACTACCGACTAAACCGTCTTTCAAAAAAAGCGTTCAAGCTCACTTTTTATTTTTATCCGAGCAATAAGTGCTTTATATTATTCCCAAATTCGTGTATAATATAGTATATATCATATATGTGTAAGTATATTTGTTATTCATATACATTTATTCGTTTATATATGTAATTTTAGTATGTATGTATATCAATAATTAGTAGTACCGCATTCGAGTATTCTGACACTTCCCTATGGTTGACTGGGAGAGAATGCTTTTAGCATTAAGTCCGCCATGTACACATATTTGTACTAATGAATAAATAAATAAATAAATAAGACTTGGGCCTTTTCGGTTCTGCGAGCAGTGCGAGGTGAGACGTTATGATATAGACCACCGTACTCATTCTGTAGGCGACTTCTGGATGAAGTCGAAACAATTGTCGGAAACATAAGGTTTAGTAGGTTCATAAAATTCCCGTTATATATATACATAGAGGTCGTTAAAAAAAGAACATTAAGTTTTAAAAATAAGCTTTACCTCTCACAAATACGTCACGCAAAATGTCATATCCATTGATTCGAAAGAGTTTATACCTGACCTGACAACCGTTTGCGTCTACAACCTACACATTGTAATCCTATATAAGGCTATATTTCAGATATCTGCATTTTAATGAACCGGCGCACTATATAAAAACCGATTTTTGTCTATTCAACCACATTCACACCCTGTCTATTGGGACAGTAAGCTCCTCAATCCCATTTTACCGACAAAATGAAAGTTCTGGCATTACTCTTTGTTCTAGCTACCATAATGTCCACAACATCAGCAAATTCCGTTCAGGTCTACTGCGGAAGAAGACTTTCAGAAGCTTTGGCGTACCTTTGTACAAAAGATATTGAAAGGAGATCTTTCAACAGTATTCCAAATGATGGTACAGCTAGGTACAGCTGGCCTGTACCAGTTCTCCCAAAGTTCAAGGCCCTGGAAGGCGTGAGGGGTAAGAGGCAAGGCGTGGCTACAGAGTGCTGCGAGAAAGGTTGCACGATGTCTGAATTACTGAATTATTGCCCTGAGACGAATTGAGCGTTCAAGTGACTGTTGTATTGTTAGATGTGCTATTTGTTTATATGATAAGCTTCATAAAATAAATTGATGAGAAAATATATTATTATTTTATTTAAAAATCAGTTAATTTCTTTAGAATTGATTCGATTAATGTTAAATAATTAACAGTGCAAATACAAGTATATGTTATTGCACAAACAAATTACTCGATGAATATGACATCGATAAACTACGAAATATTTTGTTGATCAACAAAATCGAGAGTAAAATACTCACGATTTTGTTTCATACATTATTATTGTACATATATACATTGTAAATATTGTGTTTACATATAAACTGCTTTGTAATAAGGAGTATTTTGTTTCGCAAAGAAAAAGGCTGCTGCAATCGTCAGAAAATTAAAATGGGAACAACACGGGAGTAAACCTTATCCATTACAACAAAAGTGTGCAAGTCGATTTAGAATTAGCACTGTAATCGTATAACATAGACGCGATAAAAATCATACAATTTTGTTTGATGAAATTTTGTGACAAATATTCTGTCTTATCAACATGTCAATATTTATTTTTATCCCCAGAAAGATATTTTTTGGTTTTTGTTTTTATAACATAAAACAAACGAGTATGCGGCTCACTTGATGGTAAGTGACTTTCGCCGCCCATTATCATCCACAACACTAACGGCATTGCAGGTGTGCTGCCGGCCTTTTAAAAAGAAATATGCTTTTTGCTTGAAGGTTATGATGTCGTATCGGTTCGGAAATACTGCTGCTGAAAGTTGATTCCAAAGAGTAGTTGTGCGTGGAAGAAAGTGCCTTGCAAAACGTACGGTGGAAGACTGCCACTGGTCTAGATGGTTGGGATGAAACTTAAGTTTATGGCGGGTTGTGCGGTGGTGAAAATTATAAAATTATTAGCAAATTATAAATTAGCAGCAGGTATCAGAGCACTCCCCATGATAGATTCAAACAAAAACATAATTATTTTTAATGAATATATAAATAAATAAATGCAATATATGTAAATAAAAATTATTTAATAGTATCTAATTTATGTTAATCAAATCGGATAAACGTAAATAACGATGATGCATTTTAAGACATCAATCATCTGAAAGCACCGGCTAAAACTTCGGACGAAATCTGTTAAACACGATTTGGAAGAAAGAGAACTTTGAAAAAGCTTCTTAACAGTGGCAAAAATGTGAACAAGGGCCTTGTAATGGGAATTCATGAATGATTGCCGACTCGACAGAGATTGATGTGCAAAGATAATAATTTAGCAACCGCTACAATTCGTAACAAAGATTGCTAATTGGTTTTATTATCATGTTTATTGTATCTATTTATTCTGAATAAATAAACTATTAATTTGTTGTTCTGTTCATTGTATTTTTGATTTGTTTGGATATTTGTATATAAGTCTATCTTTACGTCACTTACTTTATAGAATAAGTAGAGAGAGAGCCGAGTATATACATAGATACAACCTACATACAACTAACTATTACGCCATCTGTGTACATAGATATTTCATTCATTTATATCGGCCATTAATGTCCACTGTTGAACATAAGCCTCTCCCGAAAGGAGGATTCTACCAGTAGTCGCCACGCTTGGCAGGCGGGTTCATAACAGCAGTTAGACTTTTAGTGATGTTTGAAAAGGACGCTGTTGCCCATTCCTCGACCATTGAGTTCCTTTAGTCGTCTTTATGACATTCACGGTAAAGGAGGCAGACTTACATATAATATATTGCTATATTTATTTTCGTAAAAAGCACGTCATGCACGTATGTTAATTCTGAAAACGTTTTAGTTCCATCAATATGACAGTCATCATTATTATCATTATTGAAAATCAGAAAAATTTAATGGATTCCAACTTATTCAGCAGAATAATTATGTGCATATCGATTTCTACGTTCACCAAAACGGAAACAGTTGGCAGTTTTTTACGATACTTGGAATGGCAAATACAGTGATCGCCTATCAGATGGAAAGTGGTAGCCGTAACCTATAAACTTGAACAGCATCATGGATATACAGAATACACTGTAATATCCATGGTACTGTTAAATTTTTTATACTATTATGGTGGCAAACAAGCACACGGCCGGTCTGATGATAAACAGGGTAACCGTAGCCTATAAACGCTTGTAACACCAGGGATATCAAGCGCGTGCTGTTGTAGGGAAAGCCTCGGCAGGAAAAGTCAAGCGTTGCAAATTTAACAAATATTTGCAAATCTGACAAACATCATTAACATTCGTGAGCATATAGATTTATTCCACTAATTATTATTTTACCTTTCAATTAGTATTAACTATACATTGGTAATATAGATAATGATCTGATATCTATATATTGGGTTTCTCTAGACATTGATGATGGAAAAAAGGTTATCACCCATTTCAATATCGTCCATATCGGTCGGATATCTATTTTCGAATATGTTAAAAGTCTGTTATCCAATATATTTTTTTGGATAACAGACTTAATATATTCGTTATTAGACCAGTATATATATATATTGTAACTAAAATATATAGAGATTGCTTTATATTACCCATCCTTAGTATTAATACAACAACCGTCACCGCTACTATCACCATTTTATTATACAAGAGGCTTCACATATTAATCTTCAGGAGCGACAATGAATTATGGGTACGATGGTCACTTGTATTATCTATTGACATTTATCTATAGGTGGCAGTAATCACTTTTCATTAGATATGTCGTTATTTATTTTTACGAAAAGAAAATATATAGAACATACTGGTTAAATAGTTAAAAGAAGATACTCTTTAAAAGAACAACAAAGAGAAGGCATTAGGCTCGGTGCGACTCCGAAAGGCTTATCCGGTTAAAACGTATTCATATCATTAAAACCTCGACCTTCTGAGCGAGTTTCCATGTTAGTTTGGCTGTGCAGTGTCTAACTTTGAAAGCGTCTGAATAGATCCAAAGAGTTTGTATTGTGGAGGATTCTTCCAAAAGCTGACCCCGTTTGGATATAGAATGACATTTAGCCAGTACTGACCTGTGTTTGCTTTGGTTTCAGATATCTGTAACAAAAAATGTTTAATTATAGTAGTTAATTTTATAAGTACATACTCGTATAATATAAATAAAGCCTTTATTCCAATCAGTAAATCATTTATTTAATTTGTGATAGTTTGTAAAAGTATATTGATAAGTTATTTATTACTGTACTCTCTTATTATCTGAACATAGGCTTGAGGGATTTAGCCAGTAGTTGCCACGCTTGGCAGGAGGGTTGGCAACTGCAGTTAGGTTTGGTTGATGTTTTAAGAGGAATTCTGCTGTCCATTTCTCGACAGTTAAATTTCTTTAGTCGCTTCTTACGACACCCACGGGATAGGAATGGGTTACGAATTCAGGGACGTATAAAATACATGTATCTAAAAATAAGATTTTATTATACATACATCTTGTGAGAACTTTATGTCAGTTAATCATCCATCAAGATAAACCGATCGAGCCTAAATTCCGTCAACTTTGTGCTTTTACAGTTACATTGTTTTATTACAAAGTTCCACGATTGTTTTTAGCTTCAACATCGGTTGAAGGAATTACTATTGGTATAATTATTACTCACATTACATTTCTATCTCACCGATATTGCATAATATACGTAACTTTTTTGAGAACGCAAAAGTCAATACACATGTTAAATTTCAGTTTATTGGATGCCCGTAAACATTCGAAAATTGGATTACAAATGAACCGGAAAAAAGGACGGAAAGACAAACGAGAGCAGCAAGTAATATAATAGTTTGTAATACATGTATACATATATACCCATGCTCATGGTTGTAATAATAATTTCTCTAAGTTTAGGTACTTATACAATATATACTACTTTTAAAACTTATGAATTTACCTATTGCTGTAGAAACAATTGTCGGAAACGACAAACATATTAAGTCACTAAATTCTTGACGTCCAGTTTAATATAAATACACTTACATAACGTTTAAAATTTTATTGACACGATACGTGTCGAAAAGTGCATGCTCACCTCCTAAACTTATTACTATAATAGTAGAATATAGAAAATATATATATATATATATATATATATATATATATATATATATATATATATATATATTCCTTTATTATTATGTATATATTATTTATTCTGTATAAATATAGGTACATTATTAATAATTAATTCACTATTCACCCTAAAGGTTGACTGGTAGAGAATGCTATTGGCATTTAGTCCGCGTTTTGTACCATATTTTCTTTTGGTCAAATAAAGTAAGTATTTAAATAAATAAATATGTACAATACTCCGATATACCTACGTACATTTCCGAATATACTTTTGTATTGAACAATTAGTCGAACATTCCATCCTCAGGCAGATGTTCAAAAGTTTACCCGCGCTCCATGTTGTTGTTACCTACATAGACTAAAGCTGAAGTTTGTGTTTAGTAATTTACAAGGCATGTAGTTGAATATATAAAACATAAAATTAACGAACAGAGTCTTACTCTTATACAAATGATTTAATGTCAACTATAAAACGTTGGTAAAAAACAAGATAATAAAAACTTTGCGCAAACAGTTTAATAGCGTCGGATTCGACGTTCGAATTGAGCCTGAGGGAGGGATAAACATATGAACTAAATTATATAGATACGATCCAGCATGTTCATTTGTAACTAGCGTAAGTACTATTAATGGTAAATAGTAGATCTAATTATTTAGCGTTCCATTGTTTCTGCCTACCCTAATAGGTGATAGGCGTGACAGATATGTATGTATGTATGTATGTATGTAATATAATTATTTACCTAACTTGCTGTATTTCGCTGCAACGTTCATGGTCGTATTGCGATGTTGGATAGCGTTTAATATATCTCAATAAATGAACTATTAAATGCAAGACGAATTTTATAAATCTGACTGGCAGTTCCTGAGATTAGTGTGTTCAAATAAACTCTTCTACTTTATTATTTTAAAACACCTAGATTGCATCAAACTTTAGCAATACAGCTAAGTTTGATATAGAGCATACAGATAATTAACACACGTTTACATTTATCGTAAATAGTTT